TTCACCAAGTCCTGCTTCATTCTTTCTGTAATTTAATTTGCCCTTGTCCATGGCCACTGGCACCATATTTAAAGCTTTGATTACTTTATTTTTATATTAGATTCATAAATTTATTGAAAGAGGAAGAAAGTTTAGAGTTAACTTAGTCCAGCTCCTTTATTTTGTAGATGAAGAAATGGATACTCAGGTCAAATGACTTGCCTTAGGTCACACAACTAATGAGTAGCTGATGTTATAGTTCTCTGGTCTCAACATTTAATACTCCCTCCCAGTCTAGCATTCTTCTTAAAATTTTATTTGAAAAAAAATTTTTGTCAGTTTTGCATGTCTCCATTTAAGAGTGAGCTAGCTTTAGGAGGTTGGATAAGATAAGATGACAGCACTTTTTAGCCACCCCTCCCTCTTTCCCCCTTCCCTGAAGGCGACTATATTACTTAGAACTCTTTTAGCCAGTTAAAAAACACATATTTACCTCCATATGTGTGAAGAGCATACTGGAAGAGTTCATAATTACATGCATGCTTGCTGATTTTTTTAGTTTTAAGCACATCTATTGATTTCCCTTTCTGAAAAGATATGGAAGATAAGGATTAGCTTACTCTTTTTCCCTCACTGCACCCTCTTCCCCACATTCTGTCTTCCCCATCTCTCCAATACAGTTTTATTGCAATTTTGGTTAAATCAATATTTATCCATTATTACTTGGGATGCTATTTATAATGTCAAGTAGTAAATTATAAATACTTTTCCTAAACAACTTCTGGTATTCCTTGGAAATGTTGTGTCAACTTTTTTTTTTTTTAATGTATCACTAATTTAGCCTCACACTTTTCACCAGTTACATGTTCAGGTATTCCATCAGCTTTATCTTTTTGAAGAAATTTTTACCTGCTCCAGACTGGACGGCTTGTCCTCCCTGCTGGGAACACATTGTCTGCTGGGACCCTGGGAGTTCATTTTGCCTCTCTCCTTCATTGAATTTCCTGTTCCTGTTTCTCTGTTGTTTTAGTGGAGCACAGTCTCTAGTAGTTTTTCTGTGAGGAAGGGGGTGTGAGAGGGTAAGTCTTTTGAGACTTTCTGTGTACTCTTGATTGATAGTTTGGCTGGGTATAGACTTCTGGGTTGGAAGTCATTTTCCTAATGTATTAGTCTGCTACTTATTCTCAGTGCCCTTTTAAATAATATCCCTTTTTTTAAAAAATTTGATGGATACATTAACTTATATTTCTGAGGATAATTTTTTTAATGTACTCTTTTTCTTGTATAGTCTTTCCTCCATCCTGCATTTTTCTGTTTTGTTTTGCACTCTACGTTTCATGATAGAGGCTTTCCTGAGATGTTATTAGAACCCGTGGTTTTCGTTCACATTTAAAGTCGGGGTATATACACACACAACACATAGAGTTGAATCATATGAAATTGCCATTCTTTCTCAGCTTTGTTCACTATCTGTGAACATACTTAGTTCTCAGATCTTCATTTCTAAATCACACCCTCCACTAAAAGGAACCAGGGCTCCTTGGAGAAATGGGTGATTTTAGAGCTGGGGCAGAGAATGTACAAGATTAATCTAGAACATGTTGTTATGCAAGGAAATAAGGAAGTACTCAAAAAACATGGAAAGCACACAGTCCTCTGCTTGAAGGGGTTCCCACTGGCCAAATCTGGGATAACTTGAGCATCAGAATGAATGGTGATATTAATAAATAAAATAAGAATCCGTGAGTCCACACTGATAATGAATTAAAGAATGAATGGGAAAAAGGGAACATAACCTTACTGGAATTATAATGTCAACTGATAAGTTTAGAAGGAACAGTAGATTTACAAAATAAACATCGTTTTATAACCGTCAGTAACAGTTGATTAAGACAAGAATTGCCAGTGGATGCTAAAACTATTGGGTGAGTGTTTTAAGAACATAATCTCAAAATATCTTCCTACAGATTATTTACTAGTTAATTACTAAGGGGAAACTGGTTATTTTACAGTGGAGAAATGAGGCAAATATCATCTTAACCAAGTGATCAAAATCCCAATAATGGGACACACAGACATTATCTTACTACTTATGTGATACTCTAGGAAAAACAAACCTCACTTACCACTTGTGTGGTAGTACTGCCAGATATTTATACCCTATATTCTTCAAAGATGCCAATGAAAGACAGAGAATTGCTGAAGAACTGTTTCAGATGGAAACATGACATTAGGTGTGATCCATGATCTGGATTGAGGTGGAGGGGGATTGCCGTAAGGGACGTAGAGCAGTTGGCGGAATTGGAATGTGAACTATAGAGTCTGTATGGGACAGTTAATGTGTTGCATTCCTGACTTTACTGTGGTTGTGGAAGAGAATACCCTTGTTCTTAGGAAATACACGGCGAGCTATTTAAAGGTAAAGGACGTGATGGCTGCAGAAGATGGATGGAAGAGCAAAAGTGATACAGTGGTTAGTTGTGAATCTAGGTGAAGGCTCCGTGGGAGCTTCTTGTACTGCTCTTGCAGCTGTTCTGCAAGTTTACAATGAAGACTTTTAAAGAAAAGATTGAAGTGAGGGTGGTTGATTGGAGCCCCCATTCATGGGTGGGGGCTCAGTGGCTGTGAACCTTTCAGCAGTGTGATGAGCTGAGCTCCTTTGGTTGGGAAGTCCCCAGTGTCAGGATTTTCAGGTGTTTGTTTCTTGAGGTCAGTGATTAGAAGACACTTTCAGTTTTCATCCTGGCTGGGAATGTCAGAGCCCAATAGGAGAATCTGTCTGGAGGTGGGGTGGGCAGTTGAGGGGGCCTGTCTCTGCATTCTTTCTGCAGTTCACACAGTCCCTCTGTTTTCACTGGCAGGCCCACCCTCAGCTGTGCTGGAGTCACCATCCTTTTTGGCTTCCTTCTGTCATCTGATGGGGCTGGGAAGCACAGAAGAAGGCAAGGAGATTTGGGAATCTAAGTGTTCATTAAATAGCTTTTTCAACTAATATTCCTTTTGCTCCCTAATTTTGTTGGTTCTTGGGATTATGCCTTTAAAAAGCAAGACAAAACAACCAAAACAGTTCTTTTACTGTACTTTTAGAGGCATTTCAATGTGTGTTCAATATACATTCTTTACCCAGGAGTCCCAATAGTGCATTTATATACCATTTCATTCTGTTTTGTATCTTTTGATCTTGTTTCCCACATTTTCACAATTTAGAAAAAACCAGATTTCTTATCATCAATAGTATAGACCCTCTCTTTCCCGTAATTAGTCTAAGGGAAAAGACTGAACAATTAAACAAAGACCTTTTTCCAGAAAAGTGGGTTATGTCTCAGCATACTTGTTACAACTTAATAAGCACCTGGATTTGTGATGCTCTGAGCGGGTTGACAGCTGTCTTATCTTTTGGCTTCCCCGGATGGGAGTGTGCAGCACAGTGAGGCAGGCAGGTTGGTACAACTCTGCTGGGAGCCTGTGATTGACTGACTGGCTTGGAAGTGGGTGAAGTGGGTAATTTTTTTTTTTTTTTTGTGTCTGTTGGGGCTCCTTGTTGCTGCACGCGGGCTTTCTCTAGCTGCGGCGAGTGGGGGCTGCTCTTTGCTGCAGTGCGTGGGCTTCTCATTGCGGTGGCTTCTCTTGTTGCGGAGGGCGGGTTCTAGGCATGCGGGCTTCAGTAGTTGCGGCCCACAGGCTCAGTAGTTGTGGCTTGCAGGCTCAGTAGTTGTGCATGGGCTCTTCCTTGCTCTGCAGCATGTGGGATCTTACCCGACCAGGGCTCGAACCCATGTTGCCTGCTTTTGTAGGTGGATTCTTAACCACTGCACCACTAGGGAAGTCCAGAAGTGGGTGATCTTGGCTGGTGGGAGAAAAGATTGTAGATCAGTTGAGGGTCCTACAGCTACTCAGATTAAATGTCAAATGTATGTATGTGTGCGCAGGCGTGTGCATTTTGTGGAGTATATAACTTCATTGGATTTTTAAAGGGGTCTGGAACCCCTAACACAGAGTGGTTGTGATGGGACTAGAATTACCTATGACATTTAGAAATGTACTCTTTACACTAACATGCTAAGTTGGTCATGTCTAAACACTGTGGTGGCACATGATCTGTTCTTATGATTTAAAGCAAAAATTTAGGTGATCAATTAAACACTTTTTTAAGTTTTTGTTGAGAAAACATTTCACTGGTAAAATGTTTTTTAGAGTCAAATATTTTCTTCATTTTAAACTAGGTTTGTTACAGTTTTTGTTGATTCATTTTGTTTCTTTTAGAAAGTGGTTAGCATTGTTTCTATTTATTTTGAGGGAAAATGTTGAGCTGATCAGAATGTAGTGTGACTTTTGTGGAACAAAGGCATTAAATAAATGGCATGTATTTTGAGATGCCTTGTAGACTGCACCCTTGTAGGATTTCTGATTGGTATATTGTCCATAGTTTGTGTCTTTTCCTGCAGTATTGAGTTATAAATGAAGTGCCTTGGAAGACAGTTTAAATTTATAGTCCTTTCATGTGAAGCATCTGGTTAATTCACATTAGAGACAGGATTCGGCTGCAGCTAGTACTTAAGTGAACTTAATGTTCTGCTCATAGTTCCTAGTAAGTTACAGTTGTTTAAAGGTATTACGCGGGGCTGCTTGGGGACATTTAGAGGGAGATACTTCTAAAACTTGTTTTAGTGTTGTAAAATATGGTGCCTTTGTAGTTAACCCTGTGTTGAGTAAGAATATCATTGATGTTTTCATAAGACAAAGATAAGCATATGTATTTTTTCTTATTTGCTCACTGATAGTGCTCTTACTGTGTATCTATTTCTGGGTTATTGTTTAGTGTAGGATAAAAGCTTAGGTAGAGGGATGACAGTGCCTTTTTTCTTCTTGTTACATAGAAAAAAATTCAATTAGCTAGTACTTTTCAATCCTCTGAGGTATAGTTGTGTGTGAATGAAGACCTTGAACCAGTATTTTTAATGGCAGCTCTCATCCGAACAAAAGAGAACACGTTGTCATTTTTGCTCTTTTTTTCTTTATAGGGGAACTTCTGTTTCATGTGCACCATCCCGCTTTATTCTGCTAATCTGCTAATGCAGTAAATTGGAAGACAACCGTTGCCAGGATAACCTGTAATGGGCAAGGAGCCACAGAAAAGAAAACATTTCTTTTAATTTTTAAACTTGGTTTGAAAGGTAAGGTCACTAAAATTATGAGGAGTTTCCTTCCATGAGTTACATCAAGGAAAGCAGTTTTCTGACTTGAGACCCTGGAGTCTAGGTGGACCTGGCCTGGGTCATCACTTTGAGCCAGGTACCACCTGGCTCCGTGGCGCTATGGTATTTTTAGGAAGTTAAATAACAGGCTCTGTAGTTTGCTCTGGTATGTCGTAGAATCTGCAGCACCCATGGGATTCCCAGTTTCCACGGGATGGGGTTTGGGGTGGGATTGAGCTGGGCCCTAAGGACTAGACAGGCCTAGCAAGCTGAAGTAGCATGCCAGAGAAAGACTGCTAGTAGCGACCCAGCTACTGCTTCTAGGTCACCTGGCTGTGTGTGTGTGTGTGTGTGTGTGTGTGTGTGTGTGTGTGAGATTTGTGTTCGTTTTACACCAGCCAAAGGACATCTGGCTTCTAGCCAGCCACCTGACTCTTTTGAGTCTTAATTGCTATCATTTTGCAACTCTTTACTGAATTTTTTTGTGAAAGACCAGAGGTTTACTTTGCATATTTGGCTTTTGAGTCAATTGGCACTTAATAGTAAGTGGCCCAGTAGGACCTTTTTGGGGCTATGCACACATACTTAATCCAATTTCATTTGTTCCATAGTAACTGGAGGAGCAGGTGGGCATAAACCAATTTAATCATCTACCTTTCAGGCTCACTTTCTCAGGAGATACTATAGTTGTTCTGTTATAACAGGTCTCTGCTTCTAATCCCCAGGCCCCAATCTTTCCTAGGCAGTAAGCCACTTTGCCTGTGCTCTCCCGCACCTCCAGTCCCTTGTGAATAACTCTTCCTCAGCATCCCCTTCTGCTTACATAGTGAAGCACCAACTCTTGTAGAAAGGTTCTGATTTGTCCAGTTTTTATCTTCATATTATTCTGTGTAAATCCTGATGGGGAGAATTCCCTTTAAGTAGTCACTCACTCTGAGCACCTTGTCTCGTATGGTTTTGTTTGTTTGTTTTTGCTCATGTGGCCCAGCCCTTCCTTTTCCTCTGCCTTGGGATAGGTTCTAACCCATAGGTATGAACTGTTCAGTTTCTTACCTGCCTGACTGAGTGGAGAATTCAGTTGAGGGTTCAGATATAAGAAGTCCAGTAGTATGCAGTGGTAAGCTATGATCTGACCGTCAGATTCATTTATAGTTAAAAAAATTACCCCTTTTTCTATTGTGATGCTGGATTTCAAAAACTAATTTTTTTTTTTTTGCGGTACGCGGGCCTCTCACTGTTGTGGCCTCTCCCGTTGCAGAGCACAGGCTCTGGACACGCAGGCTCAGCGGCCATGGCTCACGGGCCCAGCCGCTCCGTGGCACATGGGACCTTCCTGGACCGGGGCACGAACCCGTGTCCTCTGCATCGGCACGCGGACTCTCAAGCACTGCGCCACCAGGGAAGCCCTGCTTCTTTAACTTATTAACAAGCGACCTTAGAAACCAGCTTTGATTGAAGCTTTGTTTTCATTTTTTTATTTTTGTGAAGAAGTTCTCCTGTAATAAGATACTCCATTTAACATTTTCTGACTTTTCTGACTGTTCCTTTCTTGTGAGTTGGGAATACTGTGATGACCGCTTAGTCTGGTAATGTCAGCATATAGTGTACTTTAGCACAGGGATGGTATGATTGCATAATAAACAGTGCTTTGCCATCTAATTTCATAACAAAATAGTTCACCTCCCATTTTGTACCTTAAAAACACAACATTTGAAGTCCAGGTTTTCTTTTCTTGTTTTGACATGTTGGGTGTGCACTTACAATAATGAAATGTTGCAGTATAGCCTATGGCACTCTGAGCACTGCTGAGTTATGCCCGTGTCACTGCGATGTGGAGAGCGCCCAGCTGCAGTGCAAAGTGATAGCACCGTATGTGGTCTCTTGTGACACCTGCTCAACTCTGCCCTGGTAGCGTAAAAGCAGCCAGAGGCAGAATGTAAAGGATGGTGTGACTGTGTTCTGTTAAAACTTTATGGCCACTGAAATTTGAATTTCGTAGAATTTGTACAAGTCACGAAATATCGTCCTTTTGATACTCCCCCACCCCCACCCCCACCCCCAAAGAGTTAAAAAGGTAAAAACCATTCTTCGCTCAGGGCCTGTATTTATAAAAAAGGTGGCAGACCAGATTTGGCAATCTCAGTATGGTACCCCCAGGTGTCCTACGTCTCTGGAGTTGCTTCACACACTCATGGCAGAAAAAATGGGGTGGGAAAGGACCTAAACTGAAAAGGTACCATTGTGGTTTTTGCTGTTGGTTGGATTTTTCTATTTCTTTGTTGTTTGTACGTAGGAATCTTAAGTGCCTGTAGTCACCTCAGAGTCTTTCTGTTAGATAGTCTTTTATAATACCCTGATTTTAGATTGTGCTTATATTTATAGAGCCTGTCCTAAATGCCAGGGATTGTGCTGCTTTATATTTTCTTTCTTTTCATAATTTTTTATTTTATCATACATAGGTACATAGCTTACATAGGTGCATAGTTTAAAAAGTCAAATGGTATCACAAGATTTATAACAAAAAATAACAATCATCTATTTCATCTTTCCCATCCTATCCCCTCCTCATCCCCAGCCCCTAGTGAGTAAGTGAGTTACTTACTCACTAGGAGCTGCTACCTCCATCTCTTAGCTGTTTCCTCATCTTTATTACTTCCTTATGCATTTCTAAATTATATATCTGTAGGTAGCAGTTTCTAATCTGCCTTACTTCTGATTATGAAGGTTAAGGTTTAACTCTTATATGCATAGCTCTTTCCCTCTCACATCTCCCAACATAGTTAAAGCACAGCTTTGGTTAATATCAGTAATAAAAGTATGTATATTTTGGTTAATTAATCCCTAAATCTCTGACTTAATTTGCAGAATCCTTCTCAACACGGTAACATACATCTGGCAATACACTTCCTTGGACATATCTTTGCCAGAGCCCTCTGCCTCATGGTTTACTCCAAACCGGTTCCTCTTGACTTTGTCTGTAGCTGCAGGTGTCCCCCCTTCTGGGAGTCATCTTTGCTTCCCTGTGTGTTGGATCCCTGGTCTCATGGATTCCGTGTCTTCCTCTCACGGCTTACTGCCATGCTTTAGTGAAGCCCATTCTCCATCCAGTAGCTTCCTCAAGAAACTGTGAGTAAATCTTTCAGACCTTCCAGGTCTAAAAATGTTCTTTTCCAGAATTGCTGTTGAGGAAGCTGATGTCGTTCTGATTTCCAGTCCTTTTGTAAGTTTCTCCTCACTAGAAGAGTTTAGATACTCTTTTTTTTTTTTTTTTTTAAATCTCCGATACCACGGACTTTCACACTGTGTCTTAAAGGATCTTTTACCACTCAACGTGGTGCCACATGTAGGCCTTAGGGGGAGAGTCACTTCTTTAGGCTCTGAGAAAAAACATTTTTTTGACAAGGGAGATCAGTGGTGAATTATAATATGTTCTAAAACTTTTGTTACTTGGATGTTGGAGTTTCGGAATTGTTTCTCCATTTTCTGTGTTTCATAAATTTGTTGGCATTCTCCTTGGCTGTTGTTTCCTTTTCTTTGTCCTTTATTGTTGTTTTTCTAGAGCTTCCAGAAGGGTAGAGAATTGTGTAGGTTTCAACCCACTAAGCATCTGGAAGGTTGCAGAATCCTTTGCTATTTTCTTGTTGAGACTCCATGTCAGCCCAAATGTAGCCATGCCTTTTATATCACATAGACTTTGAGAAGAAATTCATAAAACAGTGTGGTGATCATTTAATATAGTCTTTCTGTCCAGAACGGGAAGTTGTCTGTCGTTGCCCTCGTAGAGAATCATCCAGGCTTCCAGAGGACCTCCAGCCTTGGGGTCTTGAAGGTGTTGGTGTTCCTAACCTTTAGCAAGTTCCTGCATCTTCTGCTCACAGATAGGACGGGTAATCTGTCCTTTTCACTCACTGGCTCTCATTTTTTCCCTTGGGCACTGTCTGTGATAGTATAAAAGAGCTTTGAGATATTCAAAGCTAGTTATTTTTTCCTCCAAGTGGCAAGTCCTTCTGTCACCGTGGTCCTCTTTGGGTGCCATGTGGTTGGCAGTCTCTTCATCTGCCCCAGAACAGGATATGATATTGCTTGGCATGAGCTGATCTGCCCAGGGAAGGCTTCAATAGAGTTAGTATCTCCCGTGGTCCTAGATGCAGTTGATCTATGACACATTCTGAGGGTTACTTGCTTATTAGTCACAGCATAATACAACTTTATGTCAAGCTTATAATTAACTAAAATCTTTGGACTTGTTTCTTTCTTTAACAGTTTTCTTAGGCCTAGCAACCTCTACCCCCCACCCCATGTCATGCTTTTCAGTTTTTATTTTAAAAGGACTTTACATTTAACCATGTTAAGTAAATTTCTCTTGGTTTCATCATGTCAGACAGCTTTTAAATGCTGATTCACTCGTGTTTTCTGTGCATTTGGACAAACCTGTGGCGTTCTGGTCAGTCAGCTCTGATAGCACCACTGACCACAAGAGCTGAGCTCCTCCAGTGTCACCACCTACGCTCTTTGGGCTGAGCTCCCAGCCAGCTTGTCTGTCAAGTGATTCTTTTCCCTGCCCATGAAGACACAGGATTCCCGTCCATGAGTGTATCCCAAGAGCCATTAGATGGCAGGTTGGCCTGCTGCTGTTTCCCTTCTGCAGGCTGGCCTGGGGCTGGCTTGTGCTCTTGATGACTGCTGCTGGGACCGGTCGCTCACTGGGTGTTCCATGCTGGTCCTGTGGCCGTGTGCTGTGATGGGAAGAGCACAGACTTGGGAGCGTGATGGGCCTGGGCTTGAGTCCCAGCTCTGGCCAGCTTATTCACTAGCTGTGGTCTTTGGTAGATCATCTCACCTCTTAGAATCTTAGTTTTTCCATCTGCAAATGAGAGCGAAGCCTTGAAGAGTTGTTGTGAGGTACAGATAATGTATCTAAAAGCATCAAGTCCAGAGTCTGGCATATGGTAGGCACTTAATAATTGTGAGCTGCTATT